CATATTTATATTTTGATGAATTACCATGTGGTGCATCTTAGTTTGGTGAGTATGAATTTTACCATTTATCCTCTTTGTTCAATTTTGCAGTATACTCCTTTCGAATTTGCTTGAAAAAAAAAATTGAAGGTTTTGAATCTCAAGACAAGGTTTTCCCTGAGGAGTATGAATTTATACATCAAGCTATTTTTACAGACCCAGATGATCAAAGTGGTTGGTTTTATCATCTCTGGCTTCTTGATCAAACAGTTAAAACTGAGTCTCCTTTGTTTGTTTCTTCTTGGCCTGCACATGATTCTGATCTCACTGTGTATGGAACCAGATGTGTGGGTAGTAGCAAGTTTCTGTTCACAAATTGCCATTTCGATTCAGGGGCATTGCCTCTCATACTTTACTTCAATCAAGCTGTTGGAGGTGTAAACTCATGTACAGTTAATGTTGAATTTGGAAATGAAACGATTGAAGATCTTGTGTGGAGACCACTTGCTGTAAATAAGTCCCCAATTTCCTATGTCTGGGTTACATATTTAAAATTTTGCACTTCAAATGGGTGCCAAGTGAAGGTCAGCGTTGGACATTCTCAGGGAATCTTTTCATCAAGAGCTTTACACTTTTGCCATCCTTCTCAGATTGCATTTACAATGCATATACATCCTGTTGAAACAGATTCTGCAGAGAGATCAGGGGAAGAGTTCATCTCATGGTCAGATGAAAACTTTCGTATGTATGAAAAACAGTCTCAAGAATCACATTCAGTTGCCTCATTTGATAAATTAAATATCAAGAATGTCCATGAACCAACAAATTCTGATTGGCGAATAACAACTATACTGAAAGAGATAGAATGTTTTCGTGAATTGTTATCATTGACAGAGAGGTAAGCGTAATCCATTTGACGATGGATTTGAACCTTAAAAATAAAATTCTGATAACTTGATATCCTTTTTCTTTTTTTACTTTTTTTAGCAAAATTGGGAAGCTTACACTAGCTAGGCTGCTAATTGCCCATGATGAGATGTTATGTTCTGATGCGGAAGGGTTGATCCATTCAGAAGAAGTTCTAGGACTGTATAATGATTTAATGAAGTTGGACCCTTCACATTATCAATATTACAAGGATGAACACAGCTTAGCTTTACTACGGCAGGTTATGTTCTTCTCATTTTGTGCATAGGTGGCACCCCTTGGTGCTTATGAATTGATGAATTGTACTATACTTTTATTTCAAAACAAAAGATGTCCTCATTTTATCTATATAGGGAACTGTGGTCCGTCTGGAATTTCTTTTGTTGGAAATATTCTTATATGTATAGATGAATGATACTGCTTGCTTAAAGGAAAGTTAAGGTCGAAAACAATGTGTTTATAAAGTGATTTTTTTTTAATAATTTCTCAACTACTTTCAATTTTTCTAAAAAAAATCATTAAAAATGGTGAAAGTTAATATATGCTGGATGGTGGAAATTGTGCAGGTAACTTCGAGCAGGGAATCTCTGGTGAAACATTGCTTTCACTATTGTGATTTGAACAATTCTACTTGTTTACGACTGAATTATTTATCATTATCACGAATTGGATCTTTTGAGAAGTTACTGTGGGTCCAAATACTGGATCTTAGCCACAATGACCTTCGATCACTTGAAGGTAAATCATATAGACCACTCTTCTTGACATTTTGAGTCACTTGTATCTAGTAGGAGGATGTTTTATAGAGCACTTTCGTCATTCTTGGTTTACTGTCATGATTCTTGCAAAGTCGTACTCTCCTCCTTTACTTTGTTTGGAGTTTTTTTAGAGGGAGTTTCATTTGAATCGATTAATTTAGGGAAAGATTTATGAATCCAAAAAACTAGCTAACTTGGTTTTTGCCAAGGGTAATAACCACTCTTAGCAACTTACTTCATTAATTAAAGGTGCCTAATTACGTCAGTCTATGTTTTTCGCTGTATAATTATTAGTGAACCTGGAAAGTAGTGATGTATGAGGAGATTTCTCCACAATTTTACAA